GAAAAGGCAACCCACGGAATTGTAGAAAATAACTAAAAATCTTGCGATAAGGGGTTAATATCCAGAATATATAAAGAGTTTTGGCATCTCAGCAACAATGGAAACAACACTGGAAGTTTGTTGGTTTATTGGTACACAAGTTTATTGGTACACAACCCAGCACTCAGGAGGCTGAAGCAGGAGGATTGCTGTGAGTTCAAGGCCAGCATAGGCTATAGTGAGTTCAATCAAGCCCATCCTGAACTACATAGAAAGACACTGTCTCAAAAAACAGGGCTGGAGATTTAGCTCAGAGGTGCCGCCACCTGCACAAGGTCCTGAGTTCAATCCCCAGTACCAAAAAAAAAAAAAAAAAACTTGAACAGATATTCTTCAAAGAAGATATCCATAGTCAACAGAACATGAAAAGATGTTCAACAATACTAATCACTAAGGAAATGGATAGAATAAGTATAATGAAGCCAACACAGTGGTGCATGTGCAAGTTCAAGGCCACCCTGGGTAGCTTAGCAAAAGCTTGTCTCAAAATGAAAAATAAAAAGGACTGGGGGTGCAGCTCAGTAGCAGGGCACCCCTAGGTTTGAACCTCAATACTGCAAAAACAAACAAACCAAAAACTCACAATGGCCGGAGATTTAGCTCAGTGGTTCCGCTGCCTGCCTCACAAGCACAAGGTACCAAGTTCGATCCCCGATACAAAAAAAAACCAAAAAACCAACTCACAATGGCATTCCACCTTACACCCACTAGTAGGACTAGTAACAAGAAAGCAGAAAATAACAAGTGTTGGTGAGGATGTGGAAAAATTGGAGGTCTTGTATACTGTTGGGGCCAATATAAAATACTACAGTTGCTATGGAAAACACCATAGAGATTCCTCAAAAAATTAAAAGTAGGGCCGGGGATTTAGCTCAGTGGTTCTGCCATCTGCCGCGCAAGTGCAAGGACCCAAGTTCGATCCTCAGTACAAAAAAAAAAAATTTTTTTCCCCCATTAACTTTATTGGTACATTTTAGGTATAAAATACAGTTACATTCATCATTGGGATCTTGTACCATTACAT